CATAAAGCAAAGTCTGAAGAATCAGAACAATAAACTGAAGTTTTCCTTCCCAAAATGTAGCCAGCAAAATTTATGAGACCCGAAAACATGTGCTATGTTAGTTTAGCAACTCAAAAGAAAGAATTCTGCTCTTGCATAGACCAAGCCCCTAAAACAGGCAGAAAACTCTGGGTTCCTTCAGGGATTCTCTTTGTTCAGTTTCTGAGATACAGCACTGAGCCTGGCCCACCGAGGACACACAGCGACATTCTGTTGACTAATTGATTCACTAAATGAATGAATGCAGTAGGGCACAGAGGCGCCTGATCAATGCCCAGGCAGTGGTGCAGACCACTCGATCGGAGTCCAATGCAAACCAGTTTCCTTTCTCATTCTCTCTCAATTTTCCCTCTTTTTCATGCTCCATGGCAGATCAAAGATGTTTGTAGACTCCTTCTCATTTCTTCCACGGGACATCACCTCTGCTATCTGCTGTAATGTGGGGGCGCTCTGTGGCTGCTTTGGCCAAGAGAATATGGCAGAAGGGACTCTGTGACAGTTTCCAGAGCCAGATCCTAAGACACTGGCGGCTTCCACTCCGTCTCTTGAAACATTCTCTCGGGGGGACCCAGGGTGCTATGTAATATGTCCCACTACTCTGAGATAATCATGCTAGAAATGCCACATGTAGATGCTCCAGGTGTTGGTCCTGGCTAAGCCCACTCTTCCAGCAATCCTCACCATGGTGCCACACACTTGAGTGAAGCCATCTGGGACCCTCTGGCCCAGCCTACCCACCAGGTGAATACCACTAAGTGACCTCAGTCAACACCACAGAGAGCAGAAGAACAGTCCAGCTGAGCCCTGCCTAAATTCCTGACCCACAAAACTGTATGATCACATAAAATGGCTATTGTGTTAAGCCACTAAATGCTGGGATAATGTGTTACACAGCAATAGATAACTGGAACATAGTCTTGCTCTCCTTCTGATGACCAGCAGTGGAAGCCAAATGCAGCCATGCTCGTACAGCTAATCCTTGTACTGTAAGGGTGGCCCTGACGACAGTGCAGGCAGGTGTTCGGAGAAGAAACTGGATTCTACTCATGAGGCGTGGGGCACGGTTTGGGGTTTTTAATGACTTGATGGTCAGCAGCTACCTACCCACTGGCTTTGGCACCAAAGGCCACGAACCCCCACCGGGATGACGGAAGGCCGTACCTGCCTCATGAGCTCCTCTTGGCGCATTAATCCTCTCTCTCTCCATCTGGATCCTCTGAAGCCGAAGTTTCTGCTGCTGCTGCTGCTGAGTGGTCAGCGCATTAGGCACACTCATGAGCCCTGCTGGCGGGTTCTGAGCTGGGTGGCTCTGCGGGCTCAGGGTGCTGGGTGCCATCTGCTGTTGATGTTGGTGATTCATTACTACAGGCAGGAAGAACATACAGGCGATTAATGACAAGGGCCAACAACACCTTATCAAAAAGAGACCATCAGAATGCGTTGTGCTTTGGAGTAGAGATTCCTGAGATTCCTTCCAAAGTACTTTCCTGTTAATCATTACTGTGTAAGTAATTATTACCTTAGTTCAATTCATGGAGACTCAGACACTGGCCCCACTCCTGACTCATTTAGTCTCAGCTTTAGGGCCCTGTTACAAATCCGACTTCATACCTTCCCTGTGTCTAGGGTACATTTTAAGCCTTTCAGAGAACATGGAGGTCACAAGTAAATTCTACAAAGGTTACCACAACATACGAGGTAATTCCACCAGGACACCTGGGTGTGTGTGTATTCTTTCAGACAACCTGTATGTTTATGGCAGAGCTAAAGAAGCATGTGATCATTGATACCTGCTGGGTGTACAATATTTAAGAAGAGTAAGTGAATTGACAAGAATCATGTAAAACACAGCACCTCGATTAGAGAACTACACACAGGCAGGGGCAGGGCCCCGCTAAAGATCTGTTAAAAAAGGGTGCCCCAAAGAAACATGAGCTAAGTTCCGGAACAAATAACTGATTGAGAAAACAATGTTTCAGTTTTTGCAAAGAGAAAAACTAGTGAGAAAGAAATTACATAAAAGTTTTAACCATGTTTTAGGTTGGATAAAGGCACTAGAAGTGTTTTAAGCTTTTTAAGGATTTTCCATTTATCAGTATTTACCAACATTTTAAGTTTTAGCACGCAGTACTTCACTTTAGAAAAGAATTGATAAATCCTCTAATAAACTCTATAATTGGTATTCTCACACAAAAATGCATTTTAAAAAGTGCTAGTTTTTCTCAAAACAGTTTACCAGTCAAATTTGCTTAACTTCTGCCTTGGCAGTATTATGTACTAATGAAAACCATTTTTTTCAGTCTGTTTGTTCCTAGGTGAGGGCCAAAGGGAACTTATAATTGTATATATTTACTTCATTTCTGAGAAAAGACTCTCAATTTTCACTATATTTGGTATCACTACCTTTCAAAGATAAAATTATTGGTATATTTTACTTAAAATCCAAATATTTCAGATCTTTAGCTTGCTATGAACATTATGTGGAAACATGTTTTACAACTCAATTTTCTTAAATAAACTTTAAAGTAGCCTAATCAACTATGTAATAAATGTCTGTGTAGACCACACATACACACTTCAAAGATAGTATCAACAACGAAGATTTTCTATAGAAGAATTTATTTCCATTTATTTCCTTAAGGAACAATTAATTCCATGGCAGGAATTTCCTCCAGCTCAGGGAAGAGGTGGGTAGAAGCACTCTTTTTTAAAAAATGTATTTATACATTCGCTCAAATCTTTATTGCATTCCCACTATGTACCCGGCCCTGGGCTTGTAGCTGGATACATAGCTCCTGCCCTCACAGGAATGAACAGGCTGTTGGGAAAAATGTGTGAAGAAATAAGGTGGCTGTTACGTATGGCTGTGGAATGCTAGACTGTTAGGCTTTGTAAGGAACATTGGAGAGTATCTAGTTCATCCCTTCATTTCATGGACGAGAAACTGAAACCCAAAGAGATGAAGGGACGTACTATGCTCAGTGGCAGGTAGAACCATGGCCGAAGTTGAGGCCTCCTGAGATTCCCTGCTCTTTCAACCATCCTTGGCTGCCCTCTGCCTCACCTTAGACTGAAGAACAAGAACAACTGCTCAAACTGAGAGCAACCCTCGAAGCACAGTTTGCCTTGAATTGCAAGGAAGTACCACTTAGACAGCAGGTCATCAGAACCGGGCCGGACCCAAAGGCTGGGTTCAGGGAGGGTTTGGATAGATTGACAGCTCTCTGCTCAATCCGGAGCTACTGAAGAGGGAGGTCAGAATACTTGGAGTACTCTGCCTAAAAAATTTAGGTTTCTCTTCCTGAATTAAGCCCACCACAAAGAATTCTCACCTCCGGGCCGGCCGAGTGGCGCGATGGTTAAGAACTGGCTTGGGACGCCAGAGGGCCCCGGTTCGGATCCCACATATGAGGGCCAGTGACACTGCCCTCTACAGCTAAGATGCTGAACAACAGCTCAACCTGGAGCTGGGCTGCCATGAGTCGCCGGCGACGGCGTAGGCTGCAGCCCCTGTGGCAGTGGGTTGCCATGGGCTACCATGTGTAGCCAGCAGCCAGCGTGAGCGGCCAGCAGCTGCAGTGAGCGGCCGTCCAGAAGCCGGCGACTGATCTGCCTCGTCCAGGAAGAGCAAAATGATGGTGCCAACTTGGGCCAGTGAAGCAACGTCCTCCACAACTAGACTGAAGAACAAAAGGACAGCAACTTGTCTGTTCACTTCCCCCAATTCCCCAGCACTGTTCCCATCCCCCAATTCCCCAATAAAAATCTTATAAAAAAAAAAAAAAAGAATTCTCACCTCCTAGCATCAGCCCTGGCACAGAGAAATGCTCAGTAAATGATGTGATGACTGAATGAAACCACCTTGGTATTTCTTATGTTCTCAGCTTGAGAACAGAAAAAAAAGAAGTCGTGACTGATGCCAAAATATCTGAAACGAATTGTTTCATTTCTGTAACTTGTTAGAGCATAATTACAATCTGTATTTGAAGGACTGAATAGAAGATTGTGCACACACTGTGTCACAGGCAAAGAGTGCTCCTAAATACAGATTTAAGGAAGACAAAGTCCAGATATGCAGAAGGGTTGAATTCATTAGACCTCTCTCAGGCCAAGCGGAGGAAGCTCAGATGGAAGAATGGTGATTACTTCCAGGGACAGTCGTTTCTGAACCTTGTGAAAAATTATGCTCCTATTTTTCTATGACTACTATAGACAAAAAGATGCCCACTCGTGTCCAAAAGAGAAATGTGTAAATTGAGTAGTTCCAATATCAGGAATCCCTAGCTTAGGAAAAAGAGCCTTGAAAAGAGTAGTTCTTTTTGTTGGTAGTTTGGAGGTTATTAACCCTACATTAACTTTTATAACTCCAAAACTTTGAAAAATTTTAAAAACTGATTCAGGTCTCATACCTTATTGATGTGACAAACAACTTGCAACAGGACTATCTTCAGTGGCTTGGGAAGACTGCCCTGTCACTGTACAAAATCCTGCAATGGGTTTACTCACACGGACTCTGTTACTCAACTCCACACAGCAACCAGCTTACTCTCGGCCGACTTTACTGAAGTCTGCGTGCTTATCTGGGGGAGTTTAAGCCTTGGAGAAGAGCTCTTCCAAAACCACACCCTCACTAGTCTTCAAAACACCAGCCCTTACAGAGACGTCCACAGGGAGCAATGGTGGAGACGTTGCTTTCTTCCACTTAATTTAGATTTGACCATTCAGACTAAACATCTCCAGTCGTTAACTGTAGAGACTGAAAAACAGTGGAACGTAGACAATGGCCTTGTTTTCAAAGTAAGACACACACAAAAACACAGAAGTTTGTATGAGGACATCCATGGCAGTATAGTCTATAATAGCAGAAGACTAAAAATTATGTAACCAATGGGAGATTATGAGCCATTCACTATTACAAAGAATGAGGGAACTCTGTGGGTACTTATATGGAACAATCTCTAAGAAACATTGTTCAGAGGAGAAAAATCCAAGGGACAGAACTGGATGTATGAGCATGTTACTATTTGTAGTTAGAAAGCGGGGCATATTACAAGCACAGCAAATCTCTCTAGGATACACAAGAAACTAGTAGCAGTGGTGCCTCTGGAGAGGAAACAAGGTCAGGGATGGGAGGAGATCTTCCTTTTCCTCTTCTGTACTGTTTGAAGTTTGCCAATGCGCATTTAGTCTTATGTAAAACATAAACAAAATATAAAAGTAAAAACCATAAAATAAAAACACGGTCATCTATGCATCCAACTCAATTATTTTCTTGGTGGAGTGAAAGAAGGTAACCTCAAAATTATCTGAAACATAACAAATAAGACTTACAATGAAGATCTTTAAAGCTTAGCGCCCATCTGGTGCAACTCCTCCTTGTGGAGATGAAGAAACCAACACTCAGAGAAAGAGTGAATTTCGTCAAGGTCATAAAATGGTCAGAGGCCTAGAAACCAGGTGTCCTCACTCAATCTAGGTGCCCATAATTCAACCGGCCGCTCTGCTCCCTGTCGTCGTTTCATTTTGAGCTATTACCCAACCTTCTGTGAGACTGGAGCTCATGAACTTCTCTGATGGTTGAGGTTCATTAAAATCACTGCTTTTGTTAGTCACTCAGAGTCAGTGGGGGCAGAGGAGGCCCAACACAGATAAACAGAGAGGAGGTCCATAAGAGGACACGGAAAGGCAAAACATCTAAATGTGCGATGAATAAAATACTACTTGGGATAAAGTTCCAGAACATTTTAGGGAGAGAACAATAGCTCAGTTAAAAAAAAAAAAAAAAGGCAGAGTATCCCAAATGCAATCTCTGAGGCCAAACCTTAACAGGCAGATTGCCATTCAATGCCTCAAAGGACCCTGTCAGTTCTAGACGTTTGCCAGTCCTCACACAAAGGAATAACCCAAACAGAGGATGTCTCCACTGAAGTAGGAATGCATCAAGTCTAAAGCAGAGACAACTTTTTTTTTCCTTCCAAGGTAAGAATTTAAATTTAAATCCACATTTATCCTTTTCATTGTTTTCATCTCCTTTTCCTATGTCTTTTTTTTTCCCCTCCAATAATTGGCTTTCTGTTCTGTGCTTGGAAATTAATATAACCATGTTCTGCAGATATGTGACCAGAAACATTTCGTTGCTGTTACTCAATATAAAGGAGGACACTGAGAAAAAGAAACTCCACATCATCTGAGATATAGACACCCTTATGATTCAATGACTGTCCTTGGTGAAGCCAACAGTCATCATGGGAGGTGGCAGGGTGGGGGGTGACAATGCTGGACATGACCCTCTGGATAATGCTGCACGGGACAATGCACCCTCCTACCTGTTCCAGCAAACTCACTCAGTCACTTTATCTAAA